TTAAGATAACACCGAATAATTCCTCTATTCTTTTACCGATCGCTTAAAATTAAATAAGTTAATTCCTGATAAAGATAGGTGCACTTCACCTATAAAGAGCTTAATGTTATTCAAAGGAGGAGAAGACAATAAAAAGCGTAGTAGCATCAGGTGCCTCAAGAGCCCAACCGCTATCTTAAGGGCCTGGTTAATTCGGTCTAAGTACCCATCGAAGAGCCCTGCGTGTACCCCAAAAGAGACTCGAGGAATCGGGGCAATGTCACCGACTGCGCTCTCCGTTAAATGTATCCTTGTTACCGGCTCAGCTGTCCTCGTTTTATCGAAGACACAACACCGGAGACCTGGCTGGCGACAATGTCGCATCCATTAGCTCAAACATCCCACTCTATTAAATCCAGCTGTGTTTCTATTCCATCACACCTATTTCTCTTGTAATTTATATACGCACATTGGCGTTTCTTTTTTTATCCACCAGCTTTGATAAAATTCTCTTTTGTCGCGATACAAAAGGAATTATATTCGTAGAGAAAATCAGGTTTAGAGTCAAGTAACTTTATATTTATTTTATTGCGGGCAACAAACATTAAAACAAACTCTGGAAGAAAAATGTTATTTATACTTTTAATATCATTTCGCACATAAATAAAGGCAGGGGACTATTGTCGTCGTTGCTTGTAGTTTTTTTTTCATGAGCTAACTTATTTTTTCTACCGAATTAAATAAATTTAAATTGTAAATTTTCTTTTTTACAGCGCGTTTATTTTGAATATTCTAAAATGAACACATTAAATTTGAAATCATTGTGCTTTATTATTTATTTTACTGTTCCATAAATTATGTTACGTTTTGATTTTTGTGGATGAAAAACGTTTTTTAACCTTCGTTCAAAAAATATTCAAAATTTGGAATATCTATTTTTCTACAGCATAAAAATAAAACTAAATGCCTATATTTTATGATATGAATGGTTAGCTACTCAAAAATGAGTTGATCCGCCCTGAAATTATCTCTTACATACATTTGCAGACGAATTAGATCTTCTTAATAAAAGTGCCTGATTAAGATTTAAGTACCTAATATTTCGGCCGATTTAGTCCTCTTTGTAGTTATCTACCGGCTTGCAACAAACATATTTTACCACTTAGAGCGACATACATCATCCGGGATGCGTTTTTATACATAAAGCTGTCAACCAGATGAGCTCGAATTCGTGTTGTGACTAAAAAGGGGCTATTAAAAATCAAACGAAAAAAAACATATTTAAGTACATTAATCCATATATTTTTACGAAGATGATAAATCGCATTTACGCTTTCTTTGTAAATGTAATAAACTCGCGTAACATACATCATGCTATTCCTGCTAATGAATATTATCTAGAAATCTTCTATTATGATATGGGCGGATATCGTAACGTTAACCAGTCGTATTGAGACTATGTTTAAAATCGTTATAATTAACCATAAAATCTTATAATGAGGACTTGAGTGTATTAATCAAAATGTCGGTACCTCGGGGTACCAGACAGATGGTATGACCGGACTTCTACCTACGTTCTCTACGCTCGTTGGGAATTATTTATTTACTTTTCTGTTTTTGTACCGTACAAACGGACATTACAAAAAAAATCAATAAGCATTTATCCGATCGTAAATCAAACGGCTATAAAAAAGTATCGATGCGATATTAAGATTTGCTTGGCTACACCTTCGGCTATATCAAATTAAAGATAAAACAAATACAGTGTTTCTAATATATGTATACGGGTTGGATGTTATACAGGATGGAACATTACACATTCGATAGTATTTTATAGTTTTATTTTTAACGGAATTATTTTCATTTTTCAACGATTTATCGATGTCTTCCACCGAGTAGTAGAGTATTTTATCGGATAAAACAGTTTCTCAACATGTGGCACATACGAGTTAAACATTGGAAATATATCGATTGCGATCGTTTGAATTTATATCGATAAAATGCGTACCGATGAATGTGTATGGGAGAAAAAGCGGCGGGCGCGGCCAAGGGAAGTTTGACGAATGGTTCTTGTCATTTCGAACGACTAGATCGGTGAATCAACCCTAAAATAGGTTTCGTTCGACCGTAAAAAGACAGAAATAATTCGGTGTTTTGAAATGCAGAAATAGACATGGCAACATGAAATACGTGGAATAATTTTCATTCGATTTATGGTATATCCTAGCAACTTTTAGTCCATTTATAAATATTTATAGATTATGTATATGCCGCGTCCGGTGACTTTATACAAGTTAAACTTATCGCTTCATATCATTTTCTAATGTCCTGAAGGTATCCTTGTTACTCCATAACTTACTGGAATACGTTGTTATGTTTGTAGGTTCTTCTTATTTAAATTTTTTTAATTAAATAATCGCGAGGAGGATACGCAATTAATTTTGATCAGTTAATCATTCGCACTTTGTAGTTATACTGTCTACTTTTCATTGAGGCCAGGGGTCTGCGTGCTTGAGTCTCATCTGCTCACCGCCCGAACAAACTCATCGGGTTATTGTTGATCGATTTTTCGAAAGCGTGTCTTACACAATGTCGGCGCGTTTGTTCGAGTTATCAACATTAAATTATCCCTCCGTAGATATTAGTATTACTATTATAAATAATCCCGGCAACGGCGAATCGGTTGTTGCGCTCCATACCGAGTGAATTATGGCTCGTCGATATTATTTTTATACGGTGGATTCTCTGCGGGTTTTGCGGGTATTTAGCGTTTGATACATGCGGCAGACCGGCATGCGGCAAAAGCTAATTACATGTAAAGTTGTATTGGATTCGGCATGCTATCTTATTGTATAAGTAGATAACCTGAACAATCGAGATTTGATTGCGCGAATTCAAAGTTTGGGTAATTCAAACCAATCGAACAGGTGATTTTTGTCAACTTTGCGGATGTTTAATTTATATAGGAGTTTCTGTTGTTGCGAAAATAATGCGGGATACGTAACTTATTATAGAGTTAAGCGACATGTATTTACTACCCACATTGTTTTTTTCTATGAAATGTACATCAACTTATTTATTAGTAGAATGCACAGTGTTTTACTTGATACCGATGTGAATTTATTACAATTATGTTTGTATGGCCATTATTTGCTATTAGCACTTTGTTTTTTTAACTATTAATGTGGCTAGTTAATAATGTGGCGATAAGACGATGTTTACTGTCAATTTTTTCTTATTTGTACTCTATATTTGTGCAAAGGTTTTAAAAACATCCTTGTTTTGAATCTTTCAATAATGTCAAATTGTTGTATAGCTCATTCATATAATTTTCGTGGATTTGAATTCCTATACTGGGATTGGTCGATTTTAAACCTCTTTATTTACCAAAGGAATAACTTTTTAATATTTTCGACTGCAATTTTGGCATCTCCATTGTCGTTTCCATAAGGCATTTCCCGGCGGGGCGTGAGTTCTGGGCCACCCTGTATATTGGAGTAAAGTTCATTAATCGTTAGATTGTAACTCGTATAATTATTAATTGACGAGCCAAACGACTTTGTCTTATAAATTACCGATGATTTAACGTTTATTCGTTTAATATTCAAAAACCTATACCGCTCAAATATTTTTGAGTATACGGACGCACGTCGACTTCTGGTGGTTGAGGGCAGGTCTGTCACCGCGGGAGTCAGGCGCCACTAAAAAGTACACGCCACTACACAGGAGCTAACAATTTACATCTTAGATCTAACGGTCAGACGAGGATTATTCTTGTTTTTTTTACTGGAAAGTATTGTTACTCTCATTGATAAAGATCGGGGAAATTTATCCGTTAGTTAAAACTTGCTGTTACAAATACGAACGATAGAGTTAGACAAAATTAAAGGCATTTCAGGAATATTAATTTATGCCTTCATATCGCTGTATATTTAGTTAAATGATGATTAAAATCACTGTAGTGATTACCTATATTATTAAATTTCTAACACATGAAATTTGCTAAAGAATGGCTTGATAGCTTTAATTGAAAATTTGAAATAACCCGTGAGACTTTTAAAACTAAATTCTTATCCAGTGTTTAATTTTATCCAATAATATAGGTACTACGCAAGGTATATAATAAAAAAAATACCTTGTATTTTATAAGTTGCCGTCGGGTCATTATTCCAGATATTGAACTGCCTAATGAACAGAGTTTTAGAAATTACTTAAATCCAGTCAAAATAAAACGATTAATTTGTAGTATAAATAATTATTTATTACAAAAATACCTCAACAAATAGCGAGATATATAAAAAATTAGTTAAACATTCATTCGATCTAGAGAAAAATGAAAATGTGCAGTAAATTACAATTTATATCGGCAAAGTAAAATAAAAATTCTTTCACAAAATCAACTATGGATTGTACAATAAATTATAAATATAATAGATTAGTACATACTTTTTTAAATTATATTTGTAAAAATCACAGTCATAGTCCGAAAATGTACCATTTTCGTTGTTTTTTTGCGGTTTAATAACGTTTAAAACAAAAAATAACGTATAACGTAGCTAGAAAAAAATAACGTTATGCATAATAGTAAAATTATTATTATTTATTAGTCGTTAATAAACGAAGAACGGATTGAATGATCGTTTGCCAGGATTCGCTCGTTCTGTTAATATGACAGAAACAGCTGCTTATGTACAAATTTATTATTGTTTGCGAATCCAAAAATGTATTTCCGCAATATTTTTCATAAATAATATATAAATCAGTATTTTATACAAAAAATTCAAATAAGAGCCGGTATAATATGGGCACAAAATCAATAAAATTTCGAACCTCATTTAATTTTTCTAACCAAGTTATTCCGTCGAATCAGTTTATTTTTCCCAACAAATTGTATGTACAAAATAGCCCAATTTCAAATTTACACTTAAATTTATAGAGAAACTTACTAATAGGTCATTCGTTTGTAATGACACATATAAATTCGAAATTGGCCGTGACAACAAAAAAGTGATTACTTACTATTACAATTTTTCGAAACACCTAGAATTGGTCAACATTTCCCTGGTCAATCGCCATACTTGCTTCGAAGCGTTCTCCAACGCACTGGGCGATTTCCCTTTGAACAGATCTAAATTAGGTAGAAAGTAATGGGGGCACCGTTTGCACTGCAAGCACGAGATGAGTTGCAGGAAAATACCGTTTATTCTATCGGCTATGCAGGACTCGTCCCATTCTGATTCGCGCGGGTGTTTCTCGCATTCGTATAACAGCAACGTTTTCATGTGATAGCCCGTCACCGGATTGCCGGGCAGATCTAAGTGCCGGTCCCTGAGCGTTTTGAGGATACTGAGACACCGGCGGCGACATCCGCCTTGCAGAAGGCGATTTTCCGCCTCGAAGAACGACAGCACCCAAGCGTCGCCTTCCATCGCCGACTGTTTCCCTTGCAGCGCGATGCATTCCTTCGACAGCAAATCGAAGCCTTCGGTTTTCACTTCGACGACGATGTTCGGATGCGGCCAGGGGATCTGCGGCAGAGGCCAATGGGCCGCGCTTCTCGGCCACAAACCGGCGCACTTGAACGCCGGCGTTATTTGTACTATGTATCTTTCGCGTATCCTCAACTTCACTTCGGTGGTATCGGCTATCATTTTAACACTGTCTCTGTAGGAGCACTTATCACAAGCTTGCGCTACTAATGTCTGGAATCTCGATCTCATCTTCCTGGCCGATAGATATCCAGAAGCGGTTATGAATTCTACCCATAAGGACATTGACCTCTTCCTGCCGTCGCTGAGCTTCAGTACGGCGCATCCCGGTAACGTGCCATCATCAACGAAATTCAGCACGCCCATTTGGTTCAAATACAGCACCACTTCGAACTCCACCGGAGATATCACTTCCAAACCGTCGAATTTACCGTTGTAATCGGTCAACGACGATATGAATCTCGGTTCCTGCACTTCGACCTCTTTCAGAACGTCCTGCACCACTCGGCACACCTCTTGTATGGTCTTCGACGTTTGCAGCTTCCTCGATTGCACCTTTTCCGTGTAGTATTTGTTGAGCTGGTAGACCATTTTGGACTGGGCGGCCAGCATATCGGGCGGCACGAGCATGCTAGCGGTTTGTCGGCTACTAGAGCCTAATTTTTCTGCGGGTGCCACCTTGATTGCGATAACTTATTCGGTCCGGCGAGAGGGTGGGGGTGGAATTTCGGACGAAACGTTCGATTCAAACGCACGCGGTGATGGATCGTCTGAGGCCGTCGTAACGATACTGTCGGATATGCGTAATGGTATAACGAGGGAATGAGCAGGTGAGACGGGCTCCGCCCGATACGGGGGCCGGGTCGCGAGCGGGGTCCGCCTGCGCGACTGATACCAATCGCAGGCGGTGCAACCGGTTGCTATAGCGTTTGCCGTGTGGGGAGACGATTGAATGGCGAAAATAGGAAGGAGTGGTTAACTATTGTTTTACTAAAATATGCTATTGTTGTCGAAGGTACGGGGATATTGTGGTGACAATTTCGTGATTCTAACACGGCGATAACGTGATTGTAGAATCAAAGGCAGCTGGCCTACGTAGAAATATTTCATTATTAGTTGAATTTAATTATCTAAATTGTAGATACTGGTCTTTATTCAGCGCCCCTGTTTAACTTTTTAGAGTGATTCTAAAGTCGCGTCTTGAAAATAAACTTGACAGATTTACATTGTTGTTATGGAGTAACTAGGGTCTCGAGACGCGTATCATAGATCATAGATATACACTTTATTAAATTAATATTACCTTTTTTCGACATAAAGATTATACATATCACAGGAATACTATTTTTTAAGTTTTTTTTTTGGTGCACGCACACAAATATATCAAAACGCTAGATTGAATATACCATTCCAAATATCATCAATTTTAAAATTTATTCTCAATTTCATTGTATCTTTGATTTTTGCGTCTAATATACTTACCTATATTTTTAATGTTGCTTATAACTGCAAATTATTTTAAATTGTTTTTTGTTAGGATAGTAGTTTATAGTTTTGTAGAACTTCGATTTCATGAATTCACGGTTAAATAAAATACACTTTTGTTCTAAAAACAGTTTAATAAATACAGATCAATATACGTAGGTATACTATACATTTTATCTTGCCTTATGTCTTATAGAAGGAAGAAAAGATACATTTTTCATTATATTACGACAGTCTTTTTGCAAAAAATTTACAATACATTATACTGACTATGGCACTAGAATACATCAAGAATCACTATACAGCAGTATACATATTCGTTTTATCATTTTAAAAATAACTAATTATGTATAATTAAAGCTTATGCAACAACAAGGAATACTTACAGAGGTAACCTTCGTTTTCCGCAAAAATAAACTTTTGATGAAACATATTTTTTGAAAAAGATTTAGGTACATTAAAAATTTTCAATAACACAGCCGATAACTACAATTTATATAAGTTAGGTATACATGCAAAATATTGATTTTACCTATAAATACTCATATATCAATGCGTTATAATACAATATTGCCCACATTCATTTGGCATTGAAAGTTTTGTATATAGGATGAGTTTTATAATTTATTACAGTTTTTCCAAACATCTAGTGTTGGTTAGCATTTCACGCGTTAACCTCCACACCTGTTTAGAAGCATTTTCCAAAGCACCGGGCGATTTACCTTTGAACAAATCCAGATTTGGCAAAAAATAATGCGGGCATCTCTTGCACTGCAAGCAAGAAATCAACTGTAAAAATATACCGTTTATTCTATCCGCTATACAAGATTCGTCCCATTCGGTTTCTCGCGGATGCTTCTCGCATTCGTACAAAAGCAACGTTTTCAAGTGATAACTAGTTACCGGATTACCGGGCAGATCTAAATGTCTATCCCTAAGGGTTTTCAATATACTGAGGCATCTCCTTCTGCAGCCGCCGTGCAGCAATCGATTTTCAGCTTCCAAAAACGACAAGACCCACGCGTCTCCCTCCATGGCGGTTTGCTTGCCCTGTGCGGCGATGCTCTCTTTGCTCAGGAGATCGAATCCTTCGGTTTTGACTTCGGCCACGAGATTAGGATGAGGCCAAGGGATGTGAGGCGAGGGCCAGTGCGACGCCGATCTGGGCCACACCCCGCCGCATTTAAATGCCGGCGTTATCTGAACAATGTACCTTTCGCGTATCCTCAACTTAACTTCCGACGTGTCCGCGATCAATTTGACACTATCCCTATACGAACACTTATCGCACGCTTGAGCCACTAGCGTCTGAAATCTCGAACGGATTTTCCTCGCCGATAGGTAACCCGAAGCTGTTATGAATTCGACCCATAGAGACATCGATCGCTTCCTGCCGTCGCTTAATTTCAACACAGCGCATCCCGGCAACGTGCCGTCGTCGACGAAGTTAAATACACCCATTTGGTTCAAATACAACACCACTTCGAACTCCACCGGCGATATCACGTCCAGCCCTTCGTACTTCCCGTTGCATTCGGTGAGCGATGAGATGAAGCGCGGCTCTTGCACCTCGACCTCCTTCAGGACCTCCTGCACCACTTTGCACACTTCGCGTATGGTCTTGGCGATGGTCGCCATCCGGGTTTGCACGCGCTCCCCGTAGTATTTGTTGATTTGATAGAGCATCTTCGACTGGGCGGCCAGCATATCGGCCGGCACCAGCATGTTCTCGGGTTTTGACGCTGTCACATGTACCGTCGGAAATGGACTAGAATGCCTCGCGGAAGGTTCGAATCGAGGTGTGGCGAAAGGAGAACGGCGCGGGGCGCGGCTTGGCGCTCCTCCCTTTCGGTTTCGTTTCGAAAAAGCGCTCGGCTTTGTGCATAGGAGCGCGTTATCGATTTCTTGGGAGATAGTGTAACTAAGAAACTAAAAGAAGTTGTGAATACAGTAGATATCACAATATTATATTTTTATTCACTAAAAACTGAGTTACCTAAAGTGGATCTATAAGAATTTGAAATCTTAAAAATGTACCTTTTTAATCCATTTAACTATCTGCCAAATTATCAGGAATTTCATAAATTTTGTACAAACCACTAACTGCACCATTCAATGCAATTGATATCTACTGATGATGAAATGTATTGCATTGGTAACTTGATTGAACATTGAAAAATAATGAATTCTCATCATGTATGCAGTATAGTATTATTGCACAGAAAAATCACAGTAAAATCAACAATTTAAAAGTCGTTTTTTCAAACTGTTTGAAAGCACCTGAAGCGACCCGTTCCTGCAAAAATCACGAATTGTTGAATAAATCAATACTATTTGCTATCGCACTGATAAGTGCTCTAAAATTGAAATGAAAAAATCCTATTAATGTATTTTATTTTTTTCATATAAAAACTCATTTAGATAAATCCTAAAAGTACACGTATTTAAATTTGTTTAGCTGAAAATTTAATTCCTCTATATCAAGTGTTAACTTATCGACCCGCAACTAATAGTCCCAATTACTTCTAAAATTAATTAAAAAAAAACTTACGAACCGAACGGCACATTAAATTCTCACGCCGAGTGTTAAATGGTCCGGCCTTGCGTCCTAATATTAGAATATTTCATTAAAGAAGAAGTGAATCGGCGGTTTCTTTTGGGTGACTATCGCCGACAAGTGTTTTTCATCTCGTACTCCCAAAGTGCGTCATAAATCTGAAGAGTCCGTGTTCGCACTCTCTCGTAAGCGACTGAAAAAAATAAGTAGGCACGCATCCATCGGTCCACACATGTCTCCATTAAAACGGAATTGTCAATGTATGTGTACGTGTAAATGTTATGGTTCATGATTTTCCTTTCGAATAGATGTCTTTTGCATTTAACACAAATATAGGTATACATATATTTTTTCTTTATATTTATGTGTTATAATTTGCGCTTATAAGAGTATATGTACCCATTTATGTAGAATTGTATTCAATTCAAGTCTTTTTGTTGTTGGTTCGGCTCGTGACAGGCCGGTCTTTCTATGCCTACTCGAGATGTCTTTATCTTCTCTCTGTGAGAGGCCTTAAAAAGAGCATGCTGTACGCTTATACTTGATGTAAATAAACAATTTTTTTGTCCGGTTTGCGCTCACAATAGACCTTTTACCGCTTTTGGTCTCGTAATCCCAGAATCGATGAAACTTTTACTTTTTCGAATCTGTCGTTTCGGAAAGGTAAAGATAAAAAGTTGTTTTGTAAAAGACGTTTATGCCCGCTTGACTTGAGCGGCAAAAGATATATTACGTCGATGGTTTTTCTACTTATACCTATATAAAGGGTGTTTCAATAAGAGCGCAAGATTTTAAGGTTCAATAAAACAATGTTATCTGTAGCAAAATATGGAAATATTTATTAATTAACTAACTCCCAACTGTTAACTTTCGATCTGTCATGTTATAATCACGTGTTATTATGACTGTCAAACATGACAGGCAATTCAAATCTTGCGGTTTTATTGAAACACCCTTTACTTTGTATTATCTCAAATATAGGTAGGCACCTACTTTTTTGTGTGATATAAAATGTTCTACTTTATTAGAAAAAATAATTTTACCAATTAGGGATTGGAAAAATTGTAGGAAGAATTCCAATTCAAGTAGACTAAAGTAATTTATATTGCCTATAAAGTAACTTATAAAAAGGACTGAAATTAAACGAATAATATAAAAAATAACCATCAAACTAATTAACCATTGGACCGGCTATTTAATATTCAAAAAACGCATATTTCTAATCTAACATCTGAAATGTCGCTTCTTATTAACAGTGTAAAGCCCGTATCTGGTTAGTTAATCACGAACAAATGTCCCGAGGTTTCGATAGGATGAAATTTCTATTAAACACACCTTACCATTTTCTTGATATTTCATTAATTAGTAGACATGTTCACTTCCAGAAGAATGGGCTCGTTATTTTAATTGAATATTTTTCTAAACAGTAGATCATAGACGTACCCGGCGGAAGTTTTTGTAAGTTATATTCCAGCATTTACAAATAAAATACGAATCGTATGATTTTTGATGATTAATTATCATCTCAAAAATTCGGGAGGAGTTATTTCGGATTTTCATTTAATTAAAATTCTTTATACACTATAACGAAACGAACGTAAATCATTGCGAGCATCAGTATTTATCTGATCATTTTAAACGTCTTGACCTGCCTAAAATAGTACCGAATGGCAAACACGTTGACGTTTTTTAAAAATTAGAATTTAATACTCCCAGGACCTAACATTTGATCGTAATCTCCTTAGTTAGTATACGTATAGTTTTTATAGCCGTTGAAATAAAAGGTCTGAGAAATAAATTGTAAAGAAACGTGCTCTTTTCCTACTGGCATTTGGCGCCAGAATATCATACCAAAATGGTTTAGAATTAAAAATATTCACTTGATCGATACCTTTTTCTATAGTATCTATATTTATATCATTGCATAGCGGCGTATTTAAATTCTTCATGCGTGTGTTTGTAACATAAAGCGGTCAAAACGAAAATTTTTGTGAATTATTTGAGAAGCCCGCCAGACCTCGCAACTCGATTAGGGATGATTTACTGTCCGTGAATGCTCTAACGTTAATGCGATAGGGCACGAAATATTTCGGCTTCCCCTCGCGCAAACACCACCACCAGCCACCAATTTCAATATAGATTTGATGTTTACAATGCCGATGCGAGTGCTTGGGGTGGTGTATGGTTGAACCGGCGACAAAACAAGATACTTATAGCGCCCCCGATGGCCTAATGTTTAAAACTAACAAATCGGTCATTGATTAGAGATTAATTTTATATGTATCTACTGGACTTGCGGAAAATTCGTGCTTTTTTTGGATAATTTAAGTAATTTAGTAAATTCATAAACTCTCCTTGTGTGACGGAATACGAATAATAAGCTCACCGCAAACGTCTCGGTTCGCGTATTTAATTTATGGATTTTGTGACGCTTAATATTAGTGAATTATAGTGGAGTTCAACACCTGGATGCACCTTTTCTGGCTTGCGCTGTTGGTGGTTTACCCCTAAGGCTTTTTCTTCTAATTCCAGCCCCACATGTTCACTTCCCAAAGATTCCATTTGGCCGGATCGAGACCAGCTTATATGATTTCGAAATCTGGACTAATGCATAGCGAAGATCGCAATAGTCCTCGAGCCGACGAGCACATTATAAAAAATATACCCCATTTATTAGATGGTTATCAATTCGAGTGGTTGTGCTCACGGACTAAATCTCTTTAATACGAATGATGCAGGCTCACCCTATTCTTCCGCTCTGCGCTCTTTATGTACTCATTTGTCTATTAGATTTGACATAATTTGTTTTGAGATGGATAGGGGACGATTTTCGAGTGTAACTCAAAATGAAAGTAAAGGATCAATTGTTACATCTAATGGATTGAATATGTTCGACAAAAATAGAAATGTACGAAAATAGAATTTTACCAGCTTCGAATTTTTATTTCGTAGTTAAAAATATAAAAAAAACAAATAAATAAATAAAATAATCAAATGAAAAATATTATAAATGTTTATACTAATTAAACTCTTACTAGAAATGGACGGGATTGAATCCTATGATGCAATTAAATTTCGAACTAAAGTCTAGCGTAACGCTTCGTTGAGGTCATACATGTACGTATACCAGCTTAGGGCGCTGGTAATGCATCGTCTAATGCCCGAACAAATTGCATTAACTCCCTGGGAATCGAATTAAAATGGAGAGAAAGAGCAGGAGAGGGTGAACAGCCAGCAATAAACAAAATTAGTGTCTAGTAATGCGACATTTCGCATCCTTAATTTTGTTACTAACGGTTCATGCTCTGATGCTTTTATCGGTTTAATGAAAGAAAACTCATCTTCAGAACCGGATTTTTGTTGTAAGTTCTAATTAACAAGGTAGGTACATACATATCTACAAAAATAATGCTACTGTAATTTCTGTCCGATATGATCAAATATTTTAAATATTTATAGTTTCAATAAATTCTTTTAATGTAATTATAGAATTTTTTACTTTGAAGTTAAACTAGGAAAATTCTAAAAACTTTTCATCTGATTATTTTTTGTGTCGAATTATTGATAGATACGTCCCTGTAAATAAATCCTGCTGGTATAGCTTTTAGCTAAAGGAGACGTAGATTCATTGTTTTATAATTCGATTTCCATCGATTTTCTCTGGATAATGCTATAATTAATTGAATTTCCGAAAATTATCTTTTAACGACATTCATATTGATTATATTCTTTGTTTACACGCATTTCGTATTTATTTCCAATTATTTTGAGAACACCTAAGTTAACAGAAAATAATTTACACTAGCAATTTATATGCGCATATTTAATGTTTCTAAACAGCGTTTTGGAGCAATATTTCCGCTATATTTATTTTGTTTACCTCCGTGCAATCGATGCCATAATTTTTGGGCAATTATGCGGCATCCAAGTAAGCAAATGAGCATATTAAAAAGATAATATACGCGTACGCGCTCTTAGATGCCACCGGTGCACTTATAAATATAATTTGAAATGGAGCATGCCGTGAAATTATAACGTTCATAAAAGTTTATTTTATTTTTATGTCAAACTACCGTCCGCTGACACGTACGCGTTCAGAACGAAATAACGATTGTATTTTTAAAGACGGCATGCAAACCTTGTATAACGTACTGCTTAGAATCTACTATTTTTATCACAGGTAGTTCAGGATTAATTTAGGGAAAAAATGTAGTTTAGATAAGTAAGGAGCAACGTTTATGGTATGTATCCAACTTTAATTATTTTTATCAAAACAATAAATGTTATAAATACTTCTTGGGTGAAGAACATAAATTTATTCTAACTATTTGTAAGAAATTAGACAGAAATGGTAGTAGATAATAGTTTGCTGAATAAAATATTTTAATTAGTACCTAAGGCTATACTAAAGAAAATGTGAATCTTGAACGTTTTGATTATTGGAAAGGATATTCTCAAAGTCCTATATGGCGTATCGCAGTCGGTTGCATTTTGCATTTGGCACTCCCATTTGCATTTCAGCCTTTTTATGGAACGGCACATAACTGCCAATTAGCATTCAAGTTGCTCCAAAGATAAAAACATTTTACGAAACCACCCGGACAATATCTCAGCATAAACAGCGGCCAATTAAATTTAATTTCATTAAACCCGTACCGGTTATCTCGACCAATTAGCATATTAGTTGCACTTGCGATATCGAATTTCGAATTGGAAAAATAACTAATTTTAACTTACTTATGTAAACATAGATTAAATTACTAAAGTATGGACAGTTCCTTTCACTAGTTTTCAATTTATACAATACGCTAAAACACTGTAAAGTAATAATTAATTAAACTGTTTTATATTTCGAAAATCTGTTACAAACATAAGGCAAACAAAAGCTGACAAAAAATGCTCGCCGATAGAATAGCTAGCCATTCATGTTATCGCGGTGCTGACAGCCTCTTTAATTGATATTAGTGGGCTTCACTTCAGGTAACTTTTTAGTGACTGATGCCTCGATGAAGACGTGCATCATGCCAAATGCCAAAATTGCCAAAACATTTGGAACTAATTCTTCAAACCACATGGATATGTCCGTCAAGTGAATTACCAGTTACCGTTAGATGTTAGTTTTGTTGCATACAAAAAATATTTGACTGTCATTATTCACTAGCGAAGTACGTTTAAATTTAAAATTCATTCTTATTTTAGGTGTTCATTAAAAATTAATAGACGAACTAATTTATTTTAAGTGAATTCTTATATACGTAATGGTATACGTGCATATAAATGGCAGTTGAAAGATATAATAAATATACACGTAAAAACTGTTTATTTCAACCAATAATGGAATAAATGGTGTGCATTTGGGCGGAGTAAGAGTACACCTTTTTATTTCATTGGCTCAAGTTTAATATTATGCACCTTCTACACCTAATCAGTAATAATTTCAGGTCATTTAAATTGCAAATGTATTATAGAGTACTTACGTATATCCATTACTTCTTGATACATATCGTGGATATACTCATATAATATGCTTTTTACAGGTATTTCATAAAATATAAGCTGTGAAGATGAAAATTGATTTAACAAGTTTTAATGATAACAACTATATATGAATATCAAAAAATCTCACTGATTGATGGTACAAAAAATATTTTAATCTCAACTTATAAGGACATGAATCCAATACTCTGAGATATCCAATATACCTAATTAAGTTGGAGTAGAAATGGAGCATAAAATAAACGTGATGTTAAATAAGTTAAATTCCACTAAAACAATTATTTGGATATTTCTATCCGTCTAACACCTGCCCATTAGAAGTATATTTAACTACCAATTATATTTAATTGTTTTTAATTACAATGGCGCGCATTCCGTATTCCGGTTCGGATGCTCCACTAATTTATATCACGTTGTTCGACTTATTAATAGTATAGTAAACCAAAAACATGAATGAAATGACGCCCATATGGCGTGCATAAATCTGTTTAAGTGGTTTCGATCTCTTCAGGAAACGTCATCTTGAAGTGGCGCCTTTCATTCAATCCACTATTTATATTGTGGTGGTCAAGGCGTTAAATTACCACATAAAAATCGGTGAACTGTTAAATATCCAAATGGTTTGACGATTTGAGAGGCGAGTTTGCGGTATGCGGTTCGATTCTTTCACATCCTATATTGTGAGTTATTTAATAGTTCAAGATATTACGGTAATATAATAGATAATGCATAAAATTTTTGGGTCGTAAATTCCTCTATACTGTTATTGAATTAACTTTTATTATATGTTGAAAAGGTTCACATGTTGTAGCTAATGCTACCTACGGATACAATAATGCAAATTAAATAAATGCATTAATTGAAAACATCCTAGGAACTTCTACCTACCACCAGAAATAACTTGTTAACATTCTTTCTCCTATAGGGGCTTGTTTCGAATTAGCTGCTAATATACAGAGGGGTAATTTATACGCAACAAGCAGGCACGGTGGTGGCGCTAAGACTAAAATAACGATATCCGTATCCTGTCTACCATATGGTATCAGATTACCTAATAAAATGTAACACTAGTAAGGCAACGACAGTTTTGGGCATTTTGTTTATATTTTTTTAATGATTATTGTGTAGACGAAAAACCGCTAAGAAATTATTTCACTTGGATTTTGATTGCGTTTTAATCCGGATCCAGGGTCCTTTGAGAACAACAAAACAACCCTCGACCCTATTCTCTAATGATGAAGAGTGAAGAGGATTTCGAGCAATTTTCTCGGGGCGATGAGATTACGTCGGGCTCCCCCTAAAATAATTTCTTAGTTGCCAAATATGTTCAAAAAACAACCATTTTTCTTCCTATGCATTTCTTATAATTTTATTAATAATATTTTTCACAATTTCGTGCACATGTTTTTTTCTAAGAACTCACACGCCCTACTACTTTCGACTGCTAAAAATTGATGTATATATTTACTTAAAAAGTGAATTATTTTTAAAAATATTTCATACTAATTCTCAGTTAAATATGTTTTATCGATAGAGAGTGGTTTGGCAACGATGCTTTTATTTTATCAAAACTTTTGTTGGGGAAGGGGCTCGGGCATATAAACAATGCAGCCACCCTTTTAGGTAATTCGACACCTTCATTTGTCAGCTCATTTTTTATACTGAGGGTGTACATTTATCCTTCTAAAACGTTGTTTGTCAGTTGTCCTTCATTGTGGGCAATTATTTTCTGACGTTATTCAATAGCTCGCTTTATGTTTTCGTAAATACTCATAGGAGTAATTTAATTTTTACGGATTAATAATAACTAATATATCTTCTTATTTAATCTAACCTTAACGAGGGGAAAATATATAGGTGCACGTATAGGAATTCCTAGAAACTAAAGGTATGTTATATTTAATGAGTGCCTCTCCTGGTTTAGTGACAGATTCTTTGTGCTATCTTTCTCCGCGCAGACCGTCGTAAGTTATCTCAACTGAGAAGACTGCCACCTTGACAGCTAGTTTATGTGGACCTGTTTCGATAAGAATTCACAGATAACACTCGATGTTTTAAAGGCAGAGGCCATTGTTTTACTCTTTTTTTATACAGAGAAAAAGGTACGTTATGTCGTTAGGGAGACGGAACATAAATTTTCAAATTATGGTCGAAACGTCGTTATCTCTGATATCCGGTGACTTTTGGCAAAAGTAATGGGTATTCTATTTATACAAATTATGCAAATATTTATATGTTTTAATTTATTTGATTTCTTGACGGCGGAGGATTTCTTTAAAATTTATCGTTAGATATAATTTGCAAATTTCCATTATCTTTTCAACAATCTCGACAACATAACATATTTTTAGAGAGGAATATGTTATGTTCGCAGTGAAACAAATGTTTTAAATTCCCACAGTTCCCTCGAATACAATATTTATTGTAATTTCTGTGGAAATTCGCGCATGCACTCTCGAGAAAACTTTGTTGATTGGCGGCGGCTTCACTCAGATCGATAACATTCACAATAGGAAGCGTTTGCTAACTCCTCCTACCACATAACTACAGTCAATTTTATTCAATGAATATTTTCATTTGTAATTGTCATAAACAATTATCGATTTCATCATTATTGTCTACGTTTTTATTATCCCTGAATTATCCCTTATTATCCCCTGTTGTCGTTTAAATACATTTTCCCAACGAATTATCTACTAATTTGTTTCGGGTTTCTTCTACATATTAAATAATTGTTTCAGATGCTCAAATATTGCGATCATCTGCATGGAAAATGGTACTTCTCCGAAATAAGGGCTATATTTTCCAGGCGGTATTTGCTACAAAACAACGCCATCGAAATATTTTTAGCCAGCAGAAGTAAGTTTTCAATTAACTGAAAATCGAGATTCTTCCTTCCAACAATAATAAAAAATTGCAATACAAATTGATTTTGACACATCTCAAGTCGAACTCTCTTAAATGATCCAGGTGCAATGGTCTTAGAAGAAAAAAATCAATTATGTTTTATTTAATTAATCACATTTACCTGCTGGTTTTTTTTCTAGCATCAATCATGTTCGCTTTCCCCGATCAGAGCACTGTGAAGAAAGTCATTAGGGCACTTCCTAGGGTGGGCGTCGGCATCAAATATGGCATTCCGCAAACGAGAAGAGCTAGCATGATGTCGCCTAGACAATTAATGAGAAATTCCAACATGACACAGAAATGGCAACGGAGAGAGATATCAAACTTCGAATATTTGATGTTCTTGAATACCATCGCCGGTAAGTAGAAAATCAACCATCGCAAACAGGAAGGAACACAATTATCTTATTCGTATTTTCGTATTTTCGTCCGTGCCGCATCCAGTTTATTTTAAATTCTAATTTATTTCCGTGTAGTGCAAGATAAATCGCGGATCAGAACAATTTCTTCTAGCGTCTATGCACGTGAAATGACAACCAATGCGAGATTAAAGACGAACTAAAATATCCCCGGTCGCATCTAATTAAGTGAAATCCATCCGATGATGAAGCCGAGGAAAAAATAAACGACGGAGCATTTTCATTTCTCGGTAAAGAGGATATAATTCCGCGTGTCGACGGTGCGTAAATAACGACCGGTGAATTTTTCTTTGGGTATACGTCTCACGCAAAATTTGCAGTTGTCAAGAGAGGCTGGCTTTAAATTAAAACCACATTCATCATGTGCGTTTGGAAATAAAGTTTCCTAATTCGGATGCAGGGACGTAGCAAATAAAAATTTCCACTTGATCGAGAATAGATTTTTCCGATCCACACCCTTAAAATTCTCTCGGGAGGACGGATTGAAAATGTCGTTGTAAATTAGCCGTCACCTTCATCCAGTTAAGCTTCAGCTGAGAGAGATTACACACCCTCTTATTTTCGCCGCGGCTCATCATGTTTTAATGGCACTGTAAAGGTGTGCACAGGCGGAAGCAGATTTAAAATGCCTTATCGCGTCTATTAAATCAATTAGGCGGGACAATTTTTTTCTAATGACATTCCCGAATTAGGTCGAACCTACAACGATCTCAACCAATATCCGGTGTTTCCGTGGGTGTTGACCAATTACGATTCGAAAGATCTGGATCTGAGCCAGCCGAGCAACTACAGGGATCTCTCCAAGCCCATCGGAGCTTTGAATCCCAGCCGAAGAGCTTACTTTGAGGAGAGATACGCGACTTGGGAGCACGAAAGCATTCCGCCTTTCCACTACGGAACGCATTATTCCACTTCTGCGTTCGTATTCAACTGGTTAATACGAGTGGTAAGAGACATCACGAGTTTGTAGAATCGTAAAAAATGCTTCACTGTTTATTTAACTCTCACCAGGAACCGTTTACAACGATGTTCCTCTCCTTGCAAGGAGGAAAATTCGATTACCCCAACAGGCTGTTTTCGTCTATTTCTCTTTCCTGGAAGAACTGCCAACGGGACACGTCCGACGTTAAAGAACTAATACCGGAATTCTACTTTTTACCGGAGATGTTCGTCAATTCCAACAGATACAGGCTGGGCATGTCGGAAGAAGGCAAGCCGATCGGCGACGTGGAGCTGCCTCCCTGGGCCAATTCGCCCGAGGAATTCGTGCGAATCAACCGGATGGCGTTGGAGTCGGAATTCGTGTCCTGCCAACTTCACCAATGGATCGATTTGATTTTCGGCTACAAGCAAAAAGGTCCCGAAGCCATCCGGGCGACCAATTGCTTCTACTACCTAACGTACGAAGGCAGCGTCGATTTGGACTCCATTCACGACAAGGTCATGAGAGAGGCCATCGAAAATCAAATCAGGAACTTCGGACAGACCCCTTCGCAGCTGCTGATGGAGCCGCATCCGCCTAGAAGTTCGGCAATGCATTTGGTAAATATATTCGATTTAAATCGCTTGTTTGTTGTAATTTTTGTGTGTCGTTTAGTCGCCCATGATGTTTTCGGCGATACCCGACGACGTTTGTATGACGATGAAGTTCCTTTCGAACAGTCCCGTAGTGCACATTTCGGCCAATACTTATCCGCAACTGCCGAACCCTTCGGTGGTGACGGTTACAATGCACCAGCAATTCGCTGTGAACAAGTGGAATTCGGCGTACGCCGCTGTCGCGCAATCGCCCAGTTACGCGGATACTCCTCAAAACCAGGCGGCCAATCTGCCTCTTTCGATGGACGCGGTGCTTTGTAAGTACATCGCTATTGCGATGACGATTGCGAAATGACGAGTTAATTTTCCAGCCACCACAAACAACAGCAACGCCCAGAACCAAATGCAACGGCGCCATTTGGGCGACAACTTCAGCCAGAACTTGAAGATCAGATTCAATTGCTTCGTCACCACCGTGGACAGTAAGTTTCTGGTGGCGTGCGGATTTTGGGACAACAGTTTTCGCGTGTTTTCCACCGAGACCGCTAAAATCGTGCAGATCATATTCGGCCATTACGGCGTCGTGACGTGCCTGTCTCGATCGGAATGCAACATCACCTCCGACTGTTACATAGCATCGGGATCGGCCGATTGCACCGTGCTGCTCTGGCATTGGAACGCCAGGACCCAGACCATCGTGGGCGAAGGGGACGTGCCCACGCCGAGGGCCACGCTCACCGGGCACGAGCAGCCCGTTTCGAGCGTCGTTATATCAGCCGAACTCGGCTTGGTAGTGTCGGGATCTTACGGTAAGTTCTCCGAGTTTATATCCGCGATGGATTATATTATTAATTGCGGTCGTTCTTTAGGAGGACCTGTGCTGGTTCATACGACGTTTGGAGATCTCCTGCGTTCGTTGGATCCGCCGAACGCGTTCATGTCGCCTGAAAACATCGCAATGTCTCGAGAAGGTGTAATTGTCGTTAATTACGAGAAGGGCAATATAGCGGCTTTTACTATTAACGGGAAACGCTTGCGGCACGAGTCTCACAACGATAACCTGCAGGTAATAAAGCGCTCGGCGATGAAAATGAAGTTAATTCCGAAACAATTAATTGATTACATAATTTTTTTAGTGTCTACTATTGAGTAGAGATGGGGAATATTTAATGACTGGCGGGGACAAGGGCATTGTGGAAGTTTGGAGGACGTTCAATTTGGCTCTGTTGTATGCTTTTCCGGCGTGTGATAGTAGCGTTAGATCACTCGCGTTATCTCACGATCAAAAGTTAGTAGAATTAAATAATAATTTATTAGTTTTTAACTTTAATCATTTTGCAGGTTCTTATTAGCCGGTTTGGCGTTGGGATCGATCGTGGTATTCCATATAGATTTTAATAGATGGCATCATGAGTTCCAGCAACGCTATTAAGATAGCGGAACAGTTATGCTGCTGGCGAAAATTTATACCATAGGTAGAAGCGAATCGGAAATTAAAGAAATTCTCTTCAGTTTCCGATTCTGCTCTACGCCACCATTTAATTGCGTTTAATGTGTTTACTTGATTTCCACTTACGTATATTCCAAAACTAGTTATTTTGTGCAATAAATGCTTTTCTTAGATAAGCAAAACATTATGTATACAGAGTGTACGAATTCTTCCGCTGCAAGCGTTAGAATTAGAATCTCAATCAATACTATAAGATAGTAAAGAACAGAAACTTGTTTATCGGTTGCCGGCCGATATTAGAATTCGTCAATTCGCTTCGCTTCGTTCACTAGCGAATAGCGGGGATAGCGGGCGTGACTATTTCGTATGTTCTCTTTATTCCTTACATAGCAAAAGTTAAATTAGCTATCTCATTATTCTCATTATATGCTTGCAGCGGATCAGTTCGTACATACTATATGTTATCTGTTGAGTTTTACCAATTAAACGTAGTTATTTGTAGATAGAATTTCTTTTAGCGGGATAATTTAAACTATTGAATTTTAATCCATAATAGTATTATAATATTTAACGATTTATCGAGATGCTGTATTTGAATTCGTTTTGTGTGGATTTGAAGGGAGGAATAATCAGAAAAGAGGTGATGGTTTGAATGAATTATTTCGAGTTCAAAATAATATTAGTCGATATAAAGAAATTGTTAAAAAGAAATAACTAACGTTTTATAAATTGTTTCGGCTAGATCTAATGATATGGAATTAAAATCATTACACTATTAAAACAAATTTTGTAAACGATTACAAGACGCTAACAATTCCACTGAGTTGGTTTCATTAAATTCACTAACAATTATATTTAAAGTAAGGATGCAATTCTGATTATTTCTATAAATATTAATTTTAAGTGTAAGTACTTGCTCTCGTGTCTTAAATTAACTTAATATATTCTAAGCATTCATTAAAAAACAAGTATTGTATTGAACTTTTTTTATAGTCACGTAGAAATAAATTTTGAACTAATATTTCAATGTTACAAAAAAAAACTAAAATTATTGATTGTACTACACGGCTACTTTTCATTGTTACTTCATACGAGTTAGTTTCGATTAGAACAGAACAATTGGGCAAGTACACTCGAAGGAGTCAATCCTACTGCTGGATTTCATTCGATAATGTAAGATTTAAGCACCGTAGTGTTGCTTACAGCTTGCACTTATTCCGATACCAGCAATTGTTAATGCCAGTAAGGCGCACTTTTCCGACACGGTATGTCTGTTCATTTAAAAAATGCATTACATACCTTGTCCCAAAAACACATTCCCTCCAGCATTTGTATATTACCTTAATATATTGCAAAATCTGTCCAAGAAAATCAAACTTATTGTAAATAAGTAAGATTGTTTCCTTTTTTTATGAAGCGCTATCTAACTAATTAATGTGTATTAATATATTTACTTAATGTATTATTTTATTATAATATGATGAAAATCATGTACTTAAATGTAAGAAATATGATATGTTTGATGTTAGCAATAATATTTCATTCATTTGTACACATGATAACTATTAAATAAATGTGTTTTGTTCAACTGATTTTTTTTAATACCATACACTTTTGATAGAGTACAGGGTGTTAATTAATTTAATGTCGATACTTCAGGATGTGAATATTTGGATGATTTTTTGAAGAAAAGTTTATATCAATATATGTCCTAAACCTCTTATTTTTCGAGCTACAGGAAGTAATAGAATAGAAAAATTATAAAAAAAAAATTATTATAATTTCCTTATTAACCCAGATATTTTTATAAAATTTCGGACCTGGATGTCACTGGTAATAGTAGAAAATTAATTTTTGTCCCAAAAAAAAGTGCTTCCATAAATTTGGGAAAAAATTGTTTTAGTTTTTATTTTTTTTAGGATTTTAAAAATAATTTTAGATTTTAGAAAAAGCAGTTGCGTATCATTTTTTCTTCAAACATATTCAGTATAAACCCCCTACGGACGTCACTGGTAAAAATTTTTGTAAATCTTTTACCTCAAAAATGATCCCTAATAATTAAAAAGTGCGTACAAAATTTCATAAAAATATCTGTAGTAATAAGAAAATTATATTTTTTTTCTAAAATTTTAACATCCTGTAGCTAGAAAACTAAGGGGTTTAGGACATATTATTTCTTCTTAAAATCATCCAAATATTCACATCCTGAAGTATCGGCATTCAATTAATTAACACCCTATATATCGTTATAAATTTTCTCCAGATTTTTAGTATTGAAGGAACCACCGAAAAGATTGTTTAAATACTCCCGATAACCTTGCGGATACTACCTTGGAAACTACATATTTCAATTATTATATAGTATTAATTTCATTATCTTGTATAAGTGTAACCTACAACTAATTAGAATGTTATATATGAATATAAAATCAAATTATCGAAAATATAACAAAAATAATTCTTAATTCGTGATTTTCATATTACCTTGCGCGTTATCGCGCCGATTTCCATTAAAACTACTGCTGCTCTCTTCACCATGAATTATGCATAAACCGAGATAACAAACGCCTCGTTATAAAGACCAACGCCGCTAATTTCCCCGATTTTCGAAACATGTTTCTCTACATCATCCTAGCCATACCGGTGCTATTCTGTTTCTACGTAAAATGGGTCCAATCCCACTGGAAACGGAAGGGCGTCGAGTACATCGAACCCAAGTTCTTCCACGGCAACATCGACGATTCCTTCGAGACGGCGATGCCCGTTCACCGGCACATACTCTACAGGAACTTCTACAACGAATTCAAGCGGAGAGGCGTCAAATTCGGCGGCATCTACAACCGGCTGACGCCCGTCCTCGTCCCGATGGACCTCGAGCTGGTCAAGTGCATCCTGCAGAGCGACTTCGCGAACTTCGTGAATCGCGGACAGTACATCAACGAGGAAGGGGACCCGCTCTCCAACCACTTGTTCAATTTGCCCAGCGAGAAATGGAAGAATTTGAGGTCTAAATTGACTCCTACTTTTACCTCGGGTACGTACTCGATTTCATGTTTATGGTAAATTTTCCATTCCTTGGCAATGAAAAACGCGCGCAATTTTATTTCGATTTAAAACAAGGCTATTTTAGAATTGTATTTACAATTTGTTGTGCCTGCCGCGTAGGTCAAAATTTGATAAAAATTCCAAGGCTTCACTTCGAATGTACGTTTTACATAAATATTAATAACAAGGCGCTAAACATATCCCGACTAATTAGAGTAATTTGAATTATTATTTGATAAATTTGAATATCGTATTGTTTTTGTTATTACCATCACATTTTTTATTAACCGATTAAAAAATCAATTTCTCTTTCAAGGCAAAACGAAAATGATGTTCGCCACTGTAGTGGAGACCACGGCGGGTTTAGAGACGCTTTTGGATAAAATAATCGCCACCGAAGGGCCGGTGGATATGAAAGACGTGTTCTGTCGCTACGCCATCGACGTCCTAAGTTCGGTATCGTTTGGGACTCAAGCCAAGTGCATGGAAGACGAGACTTCGCCTTTCCTCAGGATCGGCAAGCTCATTTTCGTGCCGGATAGATCGAATTACGCGCAAGTCAAAAGAGCCATCGCCGAGTTGTTGCCGTCTTGGATAATCGAAAGATTGAAGATTCGAATAACCAAGTTGGAAATCGAGGAGTTCTTCATGAAATGGGTGAAGAAAATAGTCGATTACAGGTATTGCAAAGATGTGGAAAGATGAGCTGAGCTACACAAATCTGAAACAACAAACGTTATATTTATTATTTTCCGTCCGATAGAGAGAAAAATAACATATGCGCCCAGGATTTCTTGCACCTTTTGATCCAGCTCAAAAACAACGACGAACTCTCCGACGACAGCAAGATCAATGGAAAGAGCGACAAGCAGTTTTTAACCATGGAGCAATTGACGGCTCAATGTTATGTATTTTTCCTCGCCGGTTACGAAACCTCCGCGTCCACCATGACCTTCGCCTTGATGAACATGGCTCTCTATCCGGAGACCCAGGAAAAAGCCCGCGAGGAAGTTAACAGGATTATGAAGAAATACGACGATCAAATTACATACGATGGCATTATGGAGATGATGTACTTGGATCAGGTTTTACACGGTACGCGAATTACTTGCAACAAAAAGCTCCACGACAAATGAATCCCTTGTAAAAGCTCTGTAAATTGGTAACTTATAGTTAGGCAACCCTTACCACATATACTTTTATACACTTCTTGACGAATGAATGCTTGTTTATCGCATAGGAAAAAACAGTATTTGCATTAATGATACAAATGATCTAATTTACGTGTTTACATGTTGCAGAAACCATTCGCAAAGACGGAGTAGTTTCTGTGTTTAGGAGAATTTGTAATGAAGATTTCAAAGTTCCCGGTAGCGATTTCGTAATCGAAAAGGGAACGGTGATTCGGATACCGTTGACTGGAATAACGCGCGATCCGGAATATTTTCCGGAACCGGAAAAATTCGATCCGGAGCGGTTCAGCCCCGAGAACAAGATTAATATCCCGCCTTTCGCGCATTTGCCATTCGGGGAAGGGCCGAGAAATTGCATAGGTATTATGGAGGACATTTTTTGTGTATGAAATATGGTTAATGAGAAACCCGTATGTTTTAGGTATGAGGTTCGGTAAATTGCAAACGAAAGTAGGTATTGCTTTCGTGCTACATAAATACAAAATCACTCTTAGCAAGAAAACTCAAATTCCGATGCAAATAGACCCTACGAAAGTTTTTCCCACAGTAATAGGTGGCGTATGGTTAAATTTGGAAAAGATTAAATAAGCTGAAATAATCAATAGATATTAAATATATTCTTGTTTAATGTATACTTTTTAGATAATAAAGTTTTAAATACGATTCGTTTACTCTAATTAATTTTAATTAAGTCCTATTTACTTTTCAATTGCGTTTAAAATTTGTGGCAGAAAAATCTGACCTAAAAACGTAAATAGAGTTGTAGATCTAAAATGTAGATATAAATTAACTTTAAAAAGTAAATAAAAAAAATATTTGATAAATATTGTCATTATTGTTCATAATTAAAATACAATTATTCCATTATTTTCTTGAAGCTTTTCTTCTTAAAAATCTCGAAAATTTTCTTTTCTTAAATGATTAATTTTTAATTTAAAAACCTCTCGAAATTGGGCGTTGGTCTCTTCTTCGAGGAAAAATAAATGGAATTATTCCTACGCCTCCTCCAAATCCTCTTCCTATGCCACCCCCGAATCCTCTTCCTATTCCACCCCCAAATCCTCTTCCTGGGCCTCCCCCGAATCCTCTTCCTATTCCACCCCCAAATCCTCTTCCTGGGCCTCCTCCAAATCCTCTTCCTATTCCACCCCCAAATCCTCTTCCTGGGCCTCCTCCGAATCCTCTCCCTGCTCCACCTCCGAATCCGTGACCCCCATGACCACCACCATGACCACCACCGTGTCCTCCACCACCGCCTCTAGCACAAGTGATATCCAGAAGGATACTTAACAATAGAAAAGAAAGCAACAGAATCTGAAAAATAGCATTTAATCGAATGAACTTTTACAGGTTAATTAACGAATATTAATAATTTAACATTTCTAACTTACTTTGTAAACCATTTCGATATAATACTGAGCACTGATCTCACAGAGAGTAAAAATACATGTGAAATATTTGGAAAACACCTTATTTTCCATCATAAGGTGCTAATTAGCAACTAAAAATAGTTAATATCTCATAATCAATAGTCACATGTTTCGTAACAGTTATACATAATTTTGTTCATTTTTTATTCACTAACAAATTTAGCTGGAACATCGGTTCAAGATGGGGTCAAAATAACAGAATAATTTCATTCGTTTCGCAATCATCAGAACAACAAATGCAGGGGTCATCTTCAATTATAAACAAATAATACACAACAAATGCAGCCTATAAAATCCGACTGCAACTACAAAAACCACGTAGTAGGTTTTGTAATAGCACAATAGTTCAAAATGTTTAAGCATTCGGTAAGTAAACAATTCGCTTAGCTACAAGATCCATTCTACCGCTGCAACAACATTATTTCATCGATTTTTTAGATATTTTTCGCTCTTCTGATCGCCATCGGAGCAGCACACCCTTACGGAACGAGTCATGGAGGCCACGAGGACCTCAGCTTCGGGGCATCTGTAGGGGCGCATGGGGTTAAACAGAATGAAGGGTTTGGATCGCATGGAAGTAGCGGATATGGAGCATCAGCTGGATTACATGATGGAGGACTCCATGGAAATTCAGGAAGCCACGGGGTATCCCTAGGATTTGACGATGGTGATCACTATGGAAGTAGTGGAGGTTACGGTGGACATGGAAGGTCTACTGGCGGGTTGCATGGGAGTTCTGGTAGCCACGGAGCGTCCGTAGGTTTTGATGATAATAACCATGGAAGTAGTGGAAGTTATGGCAGACGTGATTCCGTTGGAAGCCACGGAATATCCTTAGACGATGATCACCTTGGAGGCGGTAGAAGTCACGGTGGAAGTGGAGGTTCTTTTGGATTAAACATTAACGGGATGCATGGGGGTTCCGAAGGCCACGGAATGTCTTTAGGATTTGACGATGATCACCATGGAAGTGGTAGAAGTCACGGTAGCCATGGAGAATCGCATGGTGCCGGGATAAAGGGGAGTTCCAGTAGCCATGGAGGATACGGAGGATCTTTAGGAATGCATGGCAACAATCACCACGGAAATTACGGAGGATATGGTGATTCTGCTGGTATGTACATGGATGGGCCGCATGGGAGTAGGGGAAGTCATGGATATGGAGGATCTGCAGGAATTGGAGAAGATTTGTTCGGAAATGATCATCATCAGAGAAGTTCCGCAGGAGCTCACAATGTACTAGGAATAGGTCATGCAGGAGGGAAATCATCAGCAGAATTATCCCTTGGTGGTGGTCATAGCGGGGGTCATATTGGAGGTTACAAAACTAATGGATACTGATAAATATTCTTGTTATCTAATAAATACCAAGTATTTAATTATCTAGTATTAAAATTGAAAATAACATTATGTATATTGAATAAGAAATAAAAACAAATAGGTTAGTCTAAAATCAAATGATTTGTTTAATTTTTGTTTGTCTTAAAATATTTTGACTCCCCTTTGGAGAATATCAAAAAATTAACGAGGGGACAAAGTATATTAAAAAATACTTTTTTAACAATATAAAAAAATAGTTTACAATAATTCCAGTTTTGTTATTACTTTTAGAAGCGAATTTAACCGGAAATCAAATGCACCAGTGAAGATAAAGTACGGATTAAAAAATTAAATATCGATTCTCTATACATGCAATAAAACTTTTGGGATTATCAATTCAGTAAATCTCAAACAATCATTCGATGCGTTTAGATAATTGGAGAAGATTAAATCCGGATTGTATCAATATAATATTATTTTGGATGATTTATCAAACTGTTTAGTGGTCATTGAAACGTTGGATTTAATTAAATCATTCTTTCACACGTGTGGATTAACAAAAATAATATTTTCCAATAAAAAAATTGGAATTGCATTTGGTTTTGGCAACAATTTGGCTCGTTTCAATATTGTTTTACCGAAATATGTACAGTTGGGTGCAATGTCTGAATGAATGTATTTTCCCGTATCTACTTTTAATGTTCATAAATTAAACTGATACAAATCGAGAAAATAAAATTTAACGATACTAGAGTCGTAAACTCTTCATAAACCGTTTTTATGTACTGTGTATTTTATTTTGAATTCACTGTCTTTCGCTCGCAATTTATAGTGTGAAGCAGTTTAATATTCTTTTCCTAAAATTTTATTGAACAAGTGTGATATCATTTTTTTGTTTGAATAAAATATTAATTTAATTAACAAATTGACTCAATTTTCGCGGGGGGGCGTAATTTGTCGCTACGCTACTGCTATATAATCTTACAATTCGATACAGGTAAAAAACGAAATGACATGTTTTTAATTAATTTCTGTTGGAAAATATCCAATAAACATCCGATTGCAGAAGCTTTTATAATACAATGACAAGGAGGTGTATATTTCAAGTATCGCAGGAAAAACGTTGAATAACGAAATAAAATAAGCCCAACGTATTATCCTCTTATGTACCGTCGTTAAATTGAATTGGATCCATAAACTGAAATCACAACTATTTGTTCCATGCTTTCTCAAAGTTTCCTTTTTCTCTTCGCTCTAATGAACTATATCGATGGCCTGGAAATTCCACGGCGCCTCTACAAACAGAAGGGATGTTTTTAAATTACTCGGAGATTTTTACGGAGGTTCGAGTCTTTATTTAAATTTACTGCCCGTAGAAGCGGTTTAAATTAGAAAAGCCTCGTAGTTTTTGCATGTCGACCGTGAGCTGATAAAAGAATTTTAAACAATCGTTCGATCGTTCGTTCGATTCGACGATTCCTTTGATTCTTTAGGTAAACGCCGATGGCGAATAGATTGATACCGGATGAATATGAAAAGGTTCAAAGTGGTCTATCTGCTAGCTTTTAAAGTACTAATGTGATTATAAAATTGCTTAATTCTATACATTTTTCAGGATGCAGAACGTATAGAATATAGTTTGTTTCTAATTTGGCTTTTAAATGTTAGTATACATTTTTTGAACCTAATATAACATTAAAAATTCAATTTTCCTAATATCCCAAAAATTGCTTACTAAGCACATTCCGCGAAATAAAACACCAAGTGAATTACGCTGGCGCGCTAATTCTTCCCCGAAATCCCATCAGGCTCCTTCGAAGTTGCCGGAATTAAATTTAAATTCGAATCCAACCGCCACCCGGAAAGGTCATCATCCCATTGCTGAAAGCAACCTCTAAATGAAGACGAAAACGCTTTAGCCCTAACCTCGACCAATTAAAATTAGGGCTCATTTCAATTTGGAATAAATTTTGCAGCGACACACCTAAAGCGATATCGTTTACAATAACTTCGTAATAAAGAGACATCGCCGCGTAATGGACATAATCTCGACGTTCCATCGCGGAGTGGCTATTTATCCCCGATTTGGGAGTAATTTATTGAATCATTTTGCAGTAACAAAACGCATTTTACTATATCGTACAAGGATATAATTGTAATTACATAATATTATAATGATATAATTATAATGCAAGATTGTATTTTCCTAATAATATAAAGTGCTGAGTAACTAATGCTATGAAGAATGATAAGACAGTTTTTTATGAGGGTTTGATTTAAACGTAAAAATTTTTGCGTGAGAAATGGAATAATTGAGGAAAGGTGTATAAGTCATGTTTTTCAGTTTCATTCTTCTTCATTCAATTTGATTCAATTTTCATTTCAAATTTACCTGAATGTGAATCTCAGTCACAGAGATGCCTCGTTTTAAGTATTTCAGGTGATCAATGCCGTATACAGACCAACAGAAATTGCTAAAGACGCCAAGGCGATGTGCGCAAACAAGTCCAATTTAAGGGAATTGTTCACGCAATAAATAATAAACATTTTAACAGATGAATCGGATAAGTAGCCACTGCAATTTTCGATTAGGCCGGGTTATGAGGACGGTGGAGCGAGCGACGAGCAAAAGCTACTACTCCGTCAACAGAGTTAATTGATGTCATTAGATAAGCCGCCCGGGCGATTTCGCGCGGTCCCTTTTCAACTGCCAGTGACAAACCGCCTCTTCATTAACCGTACCTGCCGTCAAAGGTGAATCGCCACTCGTTGCACTCATTGGTCCGTTCGCGCGGAAAAAAAACTCCGGGTGTTGCTGGGTGTACGAATTTCTGTTCTTCGATACGGCTTTGTGTAGGCAAATTTATCGCGAGCCGGCGAATGTTTAGTTACCTACTGCAAAAAATCCTTTGCCGTTGGTGACGGAAAATTGGCTGAGCGCAAAAATGCCGCTCCGGGAGCTCCGCTTTTCCGGCTGACTTGTAGCGTGTAACATTGTTTGAATTGCATTCAGTCATCTGTTTAAAACGTAGCATTTTTGATGCTGAAAAACGGTTTCATTCATCAACGGTACAAGGGAGTGCAGGTGAATGTTTTCATGGCACGCGAAATAATGCGTATTCTTCTGGTAAATGAGAATTATGCAAAGTCGAAATTATATTGGCCTCAAATTCGGTTCGAATTCGGGGTTTATTTAAGGCCGCGCCAAAAAGGGCTTTCGCTAACAAAGGGATTTTTAAACCCTGAAAATCTTTTTTAGGAGGTTCATTATCATCGGCGAAAAAAAAATCAACCGTTACGGTTCAACCCGAACACAGAAAATCAGTGGCACAACGACTGGGTAACGGCCATAATATTCTCTATATTACGTTTAACTCGAGATTTCGAGTATTCTTTTAGATTCGATTCGCTTTTATTATGGCACTAATGCACTCGCTTAATAGCAGAAGAAGATGATTAACGGAAAGATAAGAACATTTTGATGTCCACAAATTTTTAGGAAAATAAACCCATTGAATAAAGAAAATCCTCCAAAAGTAAACAGATTTCGAATTTATTGGAATAAAAGGAACGGTTAGAACCAAATGATTTAAAATAAAAAAAAAGGTTTTTAACCAAACGTACGTCAATGTGAACAAATGTTTTTACGCAAACAAGCCGGTTAGGCGAATGCAAATAGTCTAATATCGGCGATAATTGGACGAAATTTCGAAAATATCCAATCTGTTTCCGCCAAACAGGAGAGGATTTTTTCCAATCCTAATCCAACTGTTACCGTTGATACGTGGGTTTCGCTGTTTACTTTGCTTATTTATTTGTTATTCTCCTTCTTCCCGTTTCAGGAAAATCAAGCATATAGCAAAAAATTATAAATCAACAAGAAACGCATAATAGAATACGGTATTTAAATAAATAAAGTTTTCCATTTTCTAAATGTAACTATACTATTGTATTGTTTCATTTTCGGATGTAAATAGCTACTACTTCTATTGGATACATTATTCAAATTGAATAATAATAAAATTACAGATAAATACGCAAATTTATAAATCAGTTTTGATTCTTTTTCATTAAAGAATTCACTATACCGACGTTTGTTATGGCATAGAAGATACATAAGGAAAAATAAAAAAGAGCACTTTAAAACAATGGTGCTGGATAAAGAAAAAGTGAAAAATATACGAGGTTAAATAAATGGTTAGTAATAATAAATAATATAAACTAAATAATGCATAAACATAGATATTTTCCCAAATTCTATGAGAGACTTCGAGAGTTATTAATTAAAATTGGGATAAGTAGTAATTCAAATAAAATAATATGGAGCATATCTTAGCAAAAAAAATTTAAATAAATGGAAAGTTATTGATACTAAAACCACCTATTATTATCCATTTAACAATTTTATTTATAATTAACTTCAAAGCTACACGGTCAATTCACCCATTTTATAGCTAATATTACTAAAACCTTCTAATTTAAACGTAGATAATCTTTTATTAAACATTTTACCGCCGTAATTACACGAACATTAATTCAAAAAACAAATCGCGGCATATCTTAATATCCTAAATGAATTAATTCGGCCGAAAAAACACCGATAGAATTCCAATTAAAAATAGTTTTCCTCCCGTTCTCCCAACGATTGAGCGCGCTGGAAGCGTGAAAAACTTCGGAGCGACAGTCGAACACATGCGTTCGCAGCGTCGAGACGGAGCAACGAGCGTCGCTTTTTCAGCACCTCTCTGACTAACCGCGCGACAGCGACGAGTTTTAGGGAAAGTTTTTCCGAGCACGGCCGGAGTTTCTGAGCGTTTTTCCGCCTTTATTTGCCGACCGAACGAGTGTTTGTTTGTGGTTATTAGAATGTTGTAGAAGTCGGTGAAGTTTGCGCCAGTAGGAAAACTCGACGCTTATATCCGATAGTTTATTGGTGAGAATTCGATCAATTATTTCAAAAGCGCTAGTTTAAAGATAAGCCGCGTGGTAGCCGACGTGTTAAAAGTATAAATAATTGTTTACCTACTTATTAATATTATTATCAATATTTACTTACCCTTCGTTTCCGCAAACAATTCACACTGCTTCCTGATTTATCTATATTTACCGATCTACCTCTTTTATATTCGTTTTTAATAATATTATATCACAAAGTTACGCCGATAAGTTTACAACATTGTAAATATTGCGATAATTATTTAGTTTTTCCTCTAAATGCGTCTGATTGGAATATATTTTTTATTGATTTTTTGGGCTAAATAACAATTTAATGCTTTAATAATATGCTGATCCAGCGATAGTAGAAGGGTAAAAACCGCCAATTAAGCATTGAAATATGTAAACGAGGATAACATGGATAACATGGATAACATTCGATGAACATTAAACGATTTTTAATTTTGACATTTAATTTGGAATATTTTCTCATCATGCATAAATAGTTTAGATTTTAGATCTAATTAAACGTCCCTTTTACTCTTGTTAAAACAAGCCAAAGGGTTTCTTTTATCCAATTTCATTAACCCCGGTGTAATTATGTTTCAATTTAATTAAGTTAGGCTAACAAATTTCGTTATTATGGATAGATTTTAATTATTTCATGCATTTTAGACCTGAAGTGCGTACGATAAAAAATAAATGAATTTTCCTCGCTGGTAATCTAAATTTATTTAAGCTATTTGTTACCTTCCTAATTTTCTTAAATTCTTCTACATTCTAATTGATATATATCTTCCGAATATTTATATCTTGTTCTTAACAATTTATTTAACCGGGTAAGAATGTACCGAATTCTCGATTTACATAGTAAATGTAGACCCAGATCATTAATTAATAGATTGGTATAACACGCTTTCAGAATATTTGATTCCAGTCTTGACTTTTTGTGAAATGCGCAACTTTATTTTTGGCAAAATTTTCACGATTGTAACAATTTGTAATGTAGAAAGTAAAGAAACTACGGCTACTTACTGATAAAATATTACGCTACATTTTCCAGACCGTAAATTTTCACACAATTCCTGTGTTCCAAAAATATGCTTCTAATAACGGTAACGGTGTTTACAAAGTTTCTGGAATAGAAAAATTCGGTTCAAATGCAGTAACGAATAAGTACTTTGGAAATTACACATTGTAATCCCAAAATTGTAAATTTGATAGATATACAGGGTGTTCCTAAACATCGAGTATATCCGAAGGGGGGTGATTCATTAGCTTATTTTATGACTAAAAGTTCATATAAACGTGGGTCCGCAAACGCTTTCGTTACCGATCTACAGGGTGTTGAAATTTCAAGATTTTTTTGTTTCTTTTTTAGAGCTCCTGCAGTTTTTTGCAGTTTTTTTACAGTTATAACACCTTTATAGGCATTACAAATACAGATGATAATTAATTTTTTGCAATCAACGGAACCTCTCAAGTCTATTTAGAAATAATGTGAATTTTTACCTATTATCTCACGATCATTATGGTGGTAATGATAATTCTGTGTTAAATAAAGTAATAATTAACAATTAATTGTTGCATTATTTTAAAAGTTGTTAAAATAGTATAAAAATAGTATAGCATTGGTCCTTGTATATCACCTCACCTACTCGTCGTATCATTAAATGTAATTATAATAGGGACATTAATCAACTTATTTCGTTATTATTAGTCGTAAATCTAACTAAAACGTTTTTTTTATGTAGCTATCGAAGACATTCGATTATTAAATTATTCACTAAACGCATACCTAATAAATATTTACTTTAAATGCAGCAAGCGTATCAATAACACCTGTTGCAAATTTTGTGTAACCCAAAGATTCTCGGCAAATATTATCAACTAATACAAATATTATATTAATAACAAATATTATCTACATGTAATCTACATGTAATATGTAAACTTAATCGGAGTAGGTACCTACAATATTAATCGAAATGAAAATATCGATTAGAAAGTTATGAATATTCTATTATGTATGTTCAATATTCAAATTAACAGTTTCATTTTTGCAGCTAATCAGTTTTAAATATTGATATATGTAGAAGAAAATCTATTAGGTGGTATCGCAAGTTTTTATCGCGTTTTTATCGCGTTTTTTCCAGAAATCCCAGTAACTTTAATACTGAAAATGTCCTTCAAATCTAACGCATTGTCACACATCTTATCGATTTTTAATTTTGTAACAAACAATTCTCGTAACTATATTTTATTTTCGATGAATGCACATATGGACAGTTTTATTCATTACTTAATTCGTTTTTATGCACTCGAACAAAATAATAAACGAGTTAATATCGATCATAAACGTTTATGTTCCACAATGTGTAAAGTCCAATGTATTTTACGGGTGGACAAAAATTACATAATCCATAATTTACACTTTACACCTATAAACTGAAGAATAATTGTTGGGTATTTATTTACCATTAAATATAATGTCTTTAATTTAGAGGTAATTTGAGTCTAAATGCATGTGTCTAGAATCGATTTATCGAAGAAAATCCTAGGTGTTAATATATTAAATATTTTTAAATACATTAATTATTATCCCATTTATTATTTACATCGAGTGAAGATGTCATTACTTGCAAAAAACTGTTAGTACACCTACAATTTCACGTGCGTACATAAGTACTTATTCAATAATTTTATTATTTGCTTCAATTTTTTGTGTATTACCTACATAGTTTATACAATTATTACAGACATCAATTATTGTAATGCATAAAAATAAAAATATTCTTAAACTATTAATTTTATTTATATATTTTACCTTCAAATTATTATTAAAAAACTATTTACTTATACTTGATTTTGGAGGTCTTTTAAACTATTAGGTTCTACTAAATAAAAAAAATATTTGCTTAATTTCCATCAATATTCGTTCAACTCTTGATTCTAATTATTCTCGTTTAAATGTAGGTATGTCAAATATAAGAATAAAAAATGCGCTATTCATTTAAAAAATGAGAAATATTACCAGACAAATAAACCAATATTTTTATCAATGATACTAATAACTCTATTACTCCAATTACTTGCTTGCTATAATTATTTAATAGAACAAGGTATAGGAGTTAAAACATATTAGCATTACTTAAATCATTTAAAGTAAAACCTTTTAACTGATAAGTTTAGCCATTTGTAAATAACAATTAAGTGCCTTCAGGCAAGTAATTAAAAATGTGATATGCAAATTTAGAAGTGATTAATCCCGACGGACACTAAAATTATGCGCACAGCGAAGAAAATTTCGCAGATGGAAAAATTTGAAATGAATCTGTCAAAACGGAAAGATTCCGGTGATGGGTAGATCAAAATCACTTTCACACCTCGCACAACTCATTTGCATGAAAAAGAGCAAAATGTCAGGTTTCTTTTTATTAAATAAGACCGTCGAAATTTCTTTTCTCTCGGTTAAAATGTCGCTGACAGACGGAACGGTTACGTTGACAAATAAAACCGATTATCAAAAATCGTGTCCAAGGAAACGCTAAGGGCTTAATGGAATTTATTCATCGCCGACTCGTTAATAAGTATGATGGATATTTTGAATTTATAAATCAGGATTCGTTTATTAAATTATGTCTTAACGGAATTTGCCTTCGCTGAGAAGAGCGATATTTGAGAATAAGTATCTAACTAATTTAAAATAAAATTTATTCGATATAGCAAACAACTAAATTGAATAAATCAAGCAACGTTGCTTTAAATTTGGTAAATAAATTAATTCAATCATTTACATTTATGGTTTGGATATATTGTAAGTTGCATCGCACTTCCAATCATTGATAAATCTTCAGATATTCTAAAAATTATGATTTCCGTGTGTTTATGTGTATAGCCCAAAAAGCCCAAAAAGATATAAATTATATTCACTTAACGTTTTCTTGGCATTTCATTGTAATCTACACATCTACAGTAATTAATCTTAAGCATCTAAAAGAAATTAATAAAAATATAAAAAAGGTAATAAAAAATTGTTGTTTTTGAAGAGGTAAAAAATCACATTATCTATTCCTACATTTTTTATTATAGTAATTGATTAATTGATTTCATGATTTAATTTAATTTCTAATATATGCAAGGTTCTCTTCCCAAAGCATTTACTAGCAAACTTAACTAATTCTGTTATTAGTAAAATCGATAAATCGTAAATTTTTACCTTGAAAATTACTCGTATTTTAATATTTTAAACTAGATATGAAATAATTATATCATGCATGCGGTATAATGCAGGACTTATTGCCGGCATTAAATTTACTGTACTGCATTAAGTTTATGTGATATACCTACTGCCGTTTCATTAAAGTCCGGCGCATCAGAATTTAAATCATAAAATTCCTGCGACAAAAAATTACAAAAACTAGAAAATCTAGTAGCAAATGGAAGCTTTTACTGCCATTGGATCCTGAATTATCTTGATTTAGCAGAGGCTTGATCCCTGTCAAAAACAACAAGTTTCATACTGCATTTTTCGCCTGCTCTGAGTAAAAAAGAATCTGCGACTTTTAATTAAATTTTATTAAAACGGATTTTTGCTGACCTATTTTTTTCGCATCGATTCGAAGCGGGAAGTCCATGGAATAAAATGATAACAAGAAAAATTTTAAAAATACACAAATATTTCAATCCAGATCAATGAGAATCACAAAGAAAACATAAATTTATACATGTATTTTAAATTTGTCAGTTGATAAATTTTGAGCGATTTTGATGTCGAGAATACTAATACTAATTTATTTAGTATACACACGGGGATATCTTAGAAATGGTATTTTTGAGTAATCAAAAAACGCTAAGTGTGCTTTGTAATGGGTCTATTTTAGTGATTTTAGTAATAAATTATTGGCACGAGAAACAGAACCAAATAACCGTCATTCACCTAAAATTTTTATGAATCCTTGCCAAATTACGGGATACCATTCTGTTAATGAATACGAT